GAATTCTTCCTTCATCATTTGCAATGTTTCCAAATTACAAGTCATTTTTCTTGCTTTTTTTTTTATCTTATTGTAACTTTTTTTTTTTTTGTAAAGCTGCTGCTGACCATTACATGTCCAGAGTAAATTGTTATAAGAAACATGTTTAAGGCATTACAAGAAACATCTTTAATTTATTCTGTTATGTAAGGAGAGATCTCCTTACCTAAAAGGAAAAGGTGCTATGCAATGGCAAAGTTATATAAAGCTTAAAGCATCAGAATCATTACTCAGCCAATCGCCATGACAAGGAATCAGTTCTCAGGGTGAGGTGCAAAAATCCTGATTGGAGCATCCCTAATTTTAAGTGTTTCTTTAGTCATAAATGATTGATTTGTGCCTATAGATTTACTAATAGTTATTTTTCTCCTGCACTTTAGCAGCACTAACATGCACCATACGTTTTATTCATATCTATATTGTGAAGGTTTTAATCAAGGGGGATGTAAACTTTTTTCTCGAAATGTATACACTATTATTATTATTATTTATAAGTGAACATTTGTTTTTTGTCAGTTCACTGTATTTCCAGAATTACAGATTGATAAAAAGAGATTTCTGAAAATACCCTCTATAAAAACCATTATCTAAATTAAACGTTACGGACTTCAGAGTATTCAGATTGTTGTAGTGGAAATGTTGGCAAATTAGCATATTTTTTATGTGCTCTTCAAATAAACGCTGCTGAAGTGCGATTTAGTGCGTTTGTGTAACGAGTCTCCAGCATTTATTAGATTTGCTTGGAATATTTATGAATGTCTCCAATAGACCTACAGAGTAGCAATAATGCATCCTGAGGTAAAGTCAAACAGCTATACGTCGTGTTTGCTGGCCTCACGCATCATGCACCTGTCAGTCAGTCAGCACGTCTTATTAAAGGGTTAAACCAGGGGTCACCAACCTTTATGAAACTGAGAGCTACTTCTTGGGTACAGATTAATGTGGAGGGCTACCAGTTTGATAATAACAAATATTGCTCAATTGCTCAAATAACAAATTTGCTCAATTTACTTTTAATTATACTTTGTTTTTGGTAATAATTAATGATATTCTTCCATGTGAAGACACTGATCATGTTAATGATTCTCACAAAAGTTATCAACAATGATTTAACAGGGTAGGACATACCCTGTATTTAATGCATCAATGTGCAACACTTTATTTTTATATATCTTTGCAAATATTTACATTTTTAAATGATTACTTCTATATTAGATGAAGCTTACTGGTAAGTGGCGCTATGGTGAGCTATTTTTACAACAGGCCTGCGGGCAACACATGTGATCCTAGCGGGCTACCTGGTGCCCGCGGGCACCATGTTGGTGACCCCTTGGTTAAACAAATGAAGCACAGCACTACTAAGTTTACAGAAAAGTTCACGCTGTTATAATTCACTTACCCTTTAATACATTTTAGTGCGATTATTACCCGCTATTAAAAAATTAAATGTTTTGAATGAGAAGCTGTAATGTAGCCGTGGTGCCCCGCTAAAGAAGAATGAATGTAGTGGAAACCATGATTTTAACCCATTCACCCTTATGCAGTGTCTTGCCTTTATTTTTGCACAGCAGTGAATGTATAACTTAACACACCTCAAAAAGGGCTCTCTGTGCCTGGGTTTGACTGATATTATCAGGCAAAATAGCCAGAACGGCACTCTTAAATAGGCCCTCTCTGTGAGACACTGGTGAGATAAGGCCTGTCTGTGATTTTCCCACTGCCAGTTCCAGCAGACATGGGCTAGAATATAGATGACATGAGCACAGATGAAGAACAGTCACTAGCCTTGTTAATGCAGCCAAACTGAAACCTGCTTTAATCGCAGCACATTTGTGTTTGTGTGAAGGGGCCGATACATCTGGGTCTGCTGAACGAGAGGCTGCTGCGTGTGGAAGGTAAAGCGTGTCCTCTGCATCCATCACAAGACCAGACAGAAAAGTGGAGCGTTACCACAAAGACCATCAAGGACAAGTTTCAAAATCCTGGAAAATCTGATGCACCTGTAAACGACACCTCTGAAATTCACCAGTAGTTAAAAAAAACATTTAAATGAGTACAAATACATTTATGTGAATGAGACATTTCAATACACAAAATTATAAATAATATGGATAAAGATTAAACTACATTAATGGCTAATAAAAAAAAAAGTTTAGATTGGAATCACCAATTCTCTTCATATTTTTTATGGGCAGAAATTCAATGCGCAGGTGGGGGTCCCGTTCAGGGAGCACAGGATCTCCCTTATTCACAGATGATGTTGTTGTGTTGGCTTCATCGGACATGGACCTTCAACATGTACTTGGGCCTTTTGCTGCCGAGTATGACGCAACTGAGATGATAATCAGCACCTCCTAGTTCGAGGCCATGGTGCTCCACCGAAAAAAGGTGGTTTGGCATCTACAGTTAGGAGGAAAATCCTTACGCCAGGTGGAGGAGTTCAAGTATCTCGTGGTTTTGTTTACGAATGAGGGAAGGATGGAACGTGAGACTGACATGAGGATCAGTGCAGCGGCAGCAGAAATGCAGTCAATGTACTGGTCCGTTGTGGTAAAGCAGGAGTTAAGCCAAAGCTCTTGTTTTACCGGTCAAGCTACGTTCCTACACTCACCTTTTATCTTGAGCTTTGGGTCATGAACGAAAGCACAAGGTCTCAGATACAATCGGCTGAAATGAGTTTCCTTCACAGAGTGGCAGGGCGCACTCTTCTAGATAGGGTGAAGAGCTCAGAGTAGAGGCGCTGCTCCTCCACATCAAGAGAAGTCAGCTGAGGTGGATCAGGCATCTGTTTTGGATGCCTGCCTAGGAAGGTGTTCCAGGCAAGTCTTTCTGGGAGGAGGCCTCGGGGAAGACCCAGGACAAGCTGGAGGGACCATGTCTCTCAGCTAGCCTGGGAAAGCCTCAGGATTCCCCCGGAGTAGCTGGAAGAAGTGTCTGGGGAGAGAGGAAAGTCTGAAGTTTTCTCTTAAGACTGCTGCCCCAGAAAAGCGGAAGAAAATGAATAATTGTTTCAATTAGAATAATGTAATTTACATTGATATTATATAGATATAGTTGTCACTTTTTTCATATATCCATATAACATCCATATAACAAGTAAAAAAAAAAAACAATAAATAAAGACACACCCTTAGTTCAGTGGAAGCTGCACTTTTATTTGTAAATCACCCAAATTCTGCTTCATTTTTTTGTCATATAAACAAAATAGAATCTGCAGGGATGATGCAGTAAATATGCTAAATCAATGGATAGAATCGCTCTCATATTTGGACCGTCCTTTGTGTTCTTCCCTACTGGACAGGGTCGGCGTTATGTACACAGAGCACTGATCAACAGCGCCCCCTTTCTGTCTACAGGGCCTACACCTAAACACTACCGACCCCATCCTGACACCTGCGTTTCTCATTCATATCCACACACACGCACCCACAAACACACACACGCAACTCTTCTTTCTCCAGGACGGCCCGAAAATGAAGGCGAATCTGCACATTCAGGTCGAAAAGGCAGCCATATAACTGTCAAATGTAAAATAATGACATGCCAAGCAGAAAGCAGTACAGATCGTCCCCAAATGCAATGGCGCTGAATCACAAATGTAGTGCTCTGCTAAATGCTCCCTCACAAAAACCCACCCAAAACCCCCTGGGGCACAGAACTGACTATGTGGCGTAATGATTGGTATATTTCACCCTATGTCCTTTACGAATGGAGGCCGGTGAGCATTTGAGCTACAAAGAAATTGCACTAGACATACAACTGCTTCTGAGAATACTTAGTGCTGTATCAGTCAGTTTATAGGTGTCCATTTCCCCCCGTTTTTATATTATATATATTTTTTTTTCATAATTCAGTCACTCAAAATCCGAATTATACAACCAATCATACCCATATAAATGCATAATTCAAAACACCTCCCGTAAGGAAGATCTCAAGAAAAAAAAAAAAAAAAAAAGAGAAAAAAATATCATTTCTTTCATGTCCTCAGTGGGTAAATCATAAATAAATACAAGACAATACACAAGGAATGTCTACTGCAAACTTCAACATAAAAAAATAAAGTAGAAATTGTGGTAAAACGGATGTTAGAATATCTAATTGGTGATCGTTAAATCAGGTAATGCTTGATTGATGACCGGATAAAGACAGAACTCCAACCCACAAATCCCTCCCCGATCCCTTGTTTCGCCATTTCATGGACAAAAAAAAGGGAAGTGAAGCCGTGATTGCATGAAAACCCACCACATTCTGGCACTCACACTCTTTCAACACTCTTGTTTTTCGTTACAGACGCAGATCAGTTTGATATCGGTTACTGCGTTACACAAAGTACAAAATGAGCGCTGAGTCCTCCATGTCTGGGAAACAGAGTCGTAGCCCTCCCAACCCCACCCATCATATTCCATAATGCCCTTCCCACCCGTCCCTCTGATTCCTGTACAAGTGTGTCTCTGTCAAGAGTACAACAGCCAACTGGAGAGAGATTAAAGGTTTGAGATTTGCCATATAATTCATCCTTGGGAAGCGTCCACCCTCCTACATGAACTGCATCTGGAATCAGAGAAATGTAGATTATTGAAGACGTCGAACGCCATTTTATTTTGTGCATTTGACAGATTTGATTTTAATGGCAGTACATTGAACTGACAAGATTATCTTGTTGTGGATGACTGGTCAAGATAATTTATTAGTTTTTTTTAGATTAACTCAATATGCTAACGTATGCAGTAAAGCACCCAATCAATGATGAAATGAGTTTATGAAGCTGCAACTCAGGATTTGTTCTACAAAAATGAGTAAAAAGGGGTCATGTCATGTAAAGGAGCCAATTATGGATCGCTATAGACTGACTTTTCTCTAGGAGAACAGCTCTGAACAGACATTCTATAGGACGCAATAGGAGAGGCATTACTGAGAGGATTATAATGTGCATGAAGGAGGTTGGTGTCGTGATCTCGTTCCCTTGGAGTGTGCATTCACTTGGACAACCTAAAGAAAATGCTGATTTAGTTCATTTAAATGTTTAGGAATGAAACTTGAGAAACAGTTAATGTTTAACTTAAAGCTTAACAAACAGTTTTGGAGAATTACTTGTTTCCTCAAAATGCCCAAACATACTGTGGAAAAGGCGTTTCAAAGATGGCCACAGAGTGAAATAACTTGCCTTGTAGAGACTTTGGCTATATGCAGTGCATACTTCATACTTATATTAACATATATAGTATATGTACTATATATAAATACATGAATATATTTTAAAAGGCAATGCATTTTGCAATATGTATAAAGCAAGTATTCAAATCTAAACTTTAGAACACATTAGCTACAACATTGGGTCTTGATGACATACTTAAAATACTCCAATTTGATACAAAAAGCTGCGCAGAATTGATGTCCAAAGCTTTAAAATAGAGGTCTGTGCGGGACAAATTTATTAGTCCTGCTGCTGTGTGGTTTTATTCCGCATCCAACCGCTCCCACCATATATTCAGCCTTTGTTCACCCGCTGCCTGACCTGCCACGATTTCTACCTGACCCAACCGCTTCTGCTAAATTTAGGTCTGGTTTCCAAAATCTCACGTTTAAATTGTGTACTACCAAAAAAAAAGAGAGATAACAGATAAAACTGTAGGTTTGCAAGGATTGTAGGCCAAGCATGAGGTTTGTTTGCCCCTTTGTGATGAGACATGAGTGCCGCCTTGAGGCTGATTTATACTTCTGCATCAAGTACATGCATATGCATATGGTCTGGCGCAGCCTTCACACGGTCGCATAGCCCTCACTGTGGCTGACACAGACGCTGATGCGCAACTCTCCAAAAATTTAACTACACGTCGCAACCACGCATGGCACAAGCTATGTGATTAGTTGGCTTGGTAGCAGTGACGAGCGCGGGTGGTGCTGAGAGCCACGAGCCTGATGGAGCAATTGTCTACAAGTGTCGAGTCCTGTAAAGGAGCTCCAGATGAAAGTTTTTGTTTTTTGTTTACCTTATGATTAAAGTTGATGCACGTCCGCCGGTGTCCTGACATTTGATCCTACCCATCAGATTATGCCACCAATACTGTATTTCAGTGGTTCTGAGGTTGGGGTTAGGGAATCATGTAGGTTAGGGCATATCACATTACTTCATACTAAAATTTACACTTGTAACAAAATCTGATGAGTAGCATATTGCATCATCAAAATGTGCTCCTTACTTTTTGAATGAGAGGTACTCATTCAAACTCAGAGGAACATAAAAACCTGCTGCCAGCTAGCAATTCAGAAGTATTGCAGAGCAACACATGCAGCATGCAGAAGTATAGATGCATGGCTACATGAAAGGCAGGCGCCTTGGGTCACGCTTATCACTCGACACAGGAGTATAAATCAGCCTTTAAACCTGAAGTTCCAGTCGTTGTGACTGCTAAATTGGAAAACTTTGAGGTAGGCTTTTAATACATCACGCAAAGGGTCCTTTTTTTTTCATTTGCATCTATGACGCATGAAAAGACTCTCATACATCAGACTTGCTTGATGTGGGTTTCCTAATAGTAAACTGACCATTTTGTAATGCAAGCTGAAGGACAGCGCATCTTCATTTAGCTCTTCCATGTAGGTAAAGCTCGCTCAGAGAACTGTTATGCAGATGACGCGCCACAGACTGCGGAAAAAAGCATGTGCCATGTATTCAGCATGTGTAACAGTTGTGGCTGTCCCGCTGCTCAATAAGATATATGCTGTTCTGAAATAACGTCGGGACTCTGGAACAATATATTGTTAGCCTGCTCGCTTCCGTTCAAATTACACCAGAGTTACCGACCCCTACACTGTTTTATTCAGAAACGTATTCCCGCACCGCAAGACATCAGTTCGGGTCCTGTGGCTGACCTCTACTTCAAATTTCCACCTTTGTTCACAAGTTACTACTTCTTTACATTGAAAGTTTAACGCATGTAATTCTGCATGACATGACCCCTTTACATCAAGGGAAAACAGAACAACACATGCATGATTTGTAAATGAATGTCAAGAGCTCAGTGATACACCCCTCTCAACATAAAATGACACAATTTAAGGAACATCCTTTGAACAGCTAAACGTTGACAAATCACATCACCATGACATACAGAAAACATTGCAGTACTTGGAGATAAACAAGAATCAAAGATTTGACAATAGAAACGCTGTAACGGAGCAAGAAGCTGTCAATCACACACACACGCACACACAGCAGACATCCTGTACCTAAAGACGATCTAAAGGAAATCCTTCATAGACAGCTGTGCAAAAGGGTCCTGTCCTGGAGCTCTGAGAGGACTTGAACTGGAAGGACTAGAGGCTGTAGAGAGCTAGTTCAGAAAGAATGAAAGAGATTGAAAGAGTTCGAGGACAGCCAGAAAACTTACTCACACACACACAAGAGGGAAATTCAAAGACAGAGAATAAAAGATGTTCAGAAAGAGAAAAGCTCTGTGCACTAAAACCCCTGCATTCAGTGCCGTTTTCCTGAGCTAACACTGGTACAGAAATGAAGTAGGGGTGATGGGAACTCGATATGTATTTGGAGCTGAGAATTTGGTGCAGGTGTGGAATACATATCTATTCCCCAGAGATGTGTGAAAGCGACAATGCTTGCTTTCGTATTCAGAATAGAGCGGCGATGGCACATGAGGTGGACAAACTAGAGCGTATTCTGAATTAAGCCTAGAGCAGCTTCTAGAATAGAGTGTGATCAGTCAGGGTTGAGCTGATGCCTCTATTCCAAGGAGGATCATGGGGCTGGATAAATGCAAAAACATTCAGCTGAAACCTCTATGCATATTACTGTGCTCTAAAAAGTTTCATGGATTAAGATGTGGTCCCATTAGGAAGCTGTTTGGAGAATTCTTGCAGGCTAAATAAGTTGGTTCATAAGGCGATGAAGGCAACTCAAAGAGGTCACTTTCAAACCAAGCAACTTCACGTTGGGTAATAGGTGAATCTGTGTGAATTTAAGATAATAAGGCCCATATACACTACCAGTTAAATGTGACCCAAATCCGATTTTTCGCTCATATGTGACACAGACCTGATCTGTTCTGACTGTGTAAACACGAAAAAAATGCATGCATTCAGATATTCAGAGATCAGTTTCAGGCCTCCTTCATATGTGGAAATAAATCAGATGTGTGACAATACGACTATCATGTAAACAGGCAGATCAGATTTATTGAGGCATTCAGTTTTGTATGTCATGAAACGTGCGACAATGTGGTACTTCTCTGCGGTTTAATGACATTGAAGAAAGAGTGTGTGTGTGCTCTTCCTGAAATTTCGGATTCAGTTCTCCTCATTAAAGCCTGCCACAATTTGCTCCCACCAGATCTGAGATATCTCTCGTACCCACAAATTCCTCTGAATGGTGGCGGACACATAAATAAACCATAGGCACAAGCTGCGATGACAGCCCTTTCCCTCCTCCTCCACCTGAAAATATATATATATATTTTTTTTTATAATTATTTTATAGGGATTTTCACCTTTATTTTTGAAAGGACAGTAGAGAGAATTGGCAGGAAAGCATTGGGAGCAGAGAGAGGGGAAGGATCGGCATAGGACCGCGAAGTGGAATCGAACCCGGGTCGCCGCGAGCACCGGAGTGCATGTGTCGACGCAATAACCACTACACCACTGGCGCCGACCCTCAAAATCATTTTAAAGTTGGGTAAACTTTGCATTTTTTACAGAGCTAAAAGTAAGACAATTTCTTCCATCATGGCTTGTGTGACGCAGATGCTAGAACCCACTTTTACGCATGTGCGTCGTCGTAAATTGTATGGCAAGTGTAAACGCATGAATCGGATAAGGGTCAGAATTAAAGGAACGTGTAAATGGACAGGCAAAAAAAATTAGATATAGGCAACAAATCGGAATCGGGCATCAAGACCTGAAATTGTAAATCTGGCCTAAGGCCCCGTTTACACTAGTACGTTTTAGTTTTAAAACGGCGTTTTAGAATGAAAACGATCCGCGTCTACACTAGCGTTTTACCCAGCGTTTCTGAAAAGCTCTCCGTCCACACCACAGCACTGAAAACGCACATCACATGAACACACACACACACTCTAGCATGCGATGCGGCATATCTACCCAGATGAGAGCTGTTCTCGTTGGACTGTTCATCAAGGATCTACCGCTGGATCAAATCTCACTATATTTGTTAAACGTAATATTTAATTCATCTTCTCTATATCTAACGACATATTCCCCGACTTTGGTCTTTTGAATCTATTACTTGTTCTCAGGTAACGTGTTTTGGCTGAGCACAAAGATAAGTTAATAATTAATGTAACCACGCACATTCTGTATACTGACTGATTGTTTGCCTTTTTTTCCTATAATGTATAAACTTATTGTAGGTAATACTTTTATAATGGCCATTATTGATTATTAAAACTGATATTCAGCAAAAGAGAGGGTATGTTTCGTAATTTCAATGAAAATGAAAGGAGGCAGTTATGTTATAGGCTTTAGGCTTTTGTTATAAATATGCAAGCAGTGAAGATGACGCTCATATGACACCTCAACATCTCTGCTGTCTGTTAAGTTGTTAATATCAAAATGAAAATAGCAGTTCCTTATATTATGTTTTTATTTTATTTTTAAGATGTTGAAACAATGCATGTATCCAGGATGATGTGAATAAGGTCATAAAGTACACTGTTCCCTTTGAACATTCACCCGACATGTCCTCGTGAGTCTGTTTTACATATCAATCTTGCGAGTCTTACAAGAAGAGGATGCAGGACTAAACTGTGTAGGCTACTTAATATTGAGGAAAAGCCCCAATCAGAGAGGCTGTTGTCTGCAGCCCCGTCTCCGTTTTCCCCCATTCACACTGAGACAGAGCAGCAGCGTTTTAGAATGAAAACGCTCTGTTTTCAGTGCTCAAAAACTCCGGCGTAGTGTGGACGGATGGCACAGCCGTAGCAAAACTTAAACGTTTTAAAACGAAAACGCATTAATGTAAACAGGGCCTAAGGTGCCATGTACGCTAGTATATTTTGTTTTAAAGCGTATAAGTTTAGTTACATTTTCCGCTAATTTTGCATTTTTGACCTTCTGAAGTTAGTTTGGAAACACTGGTGTTGTTTCAATGTGGATGGACCAAAAAGCATACTTTTAAAAGCATAGATGCAGCTATCCACAATAATGAAATTCAGCAAAATTTTGTTGCTTTCCAATAGTATAGCGATGTGTAAAACAGCCAACACAGTGAATTTATCAAGTCAATAATTTGTTACAATTTCAATTAAATAAAATTTTTATTTTTTAATTGAATGAAACATTGTATAAATCAAGAAAAATCATGCAAAATTACCAATCACTCAGGCCCTGTTTATAAGTTCTGCTAAGGTTACACCTTCCGGCTACACTACCTCGGAGTTTTCAAGCCCCAAAAATGGAGCATTTTGGAAATGCTGTTTTAGTGTAGATGGGGGAAAACAGAAACATCTGAAAGTGGAGGCATGGCTGCAGACTCCCGAGGACACTTCGGGTAAATCTTCAAAGGAAACAGTGTACTTTATATCATCATTCACATCACCCTGGCTACATCGTTTCACTATCTTAACAATAAAATGAAAACATGTTATAAGGAACTGCCTATTTTCACTATGATATAAACAACTTTATATCACAAAGTTTATATCATAAACAGACACTAAAAAATTTGAGGCGTCGTGTAGCTGGCGTCATCTTCACTGTGTGCATATTTATAACTAAACGGGGTCTATAACATAACTGCCTGCTTTCATTTTCAGTGAAAAATATGAAACATACTGTCTCTTTTGCTGAATATCAGTTTTTATAATCAACAATAGCCATTATAAAAGTATTACATACAATAAGTTTATACAATATAGGAAATAAAAGCAAACAATCAGATCAGTCAAATACGCAGAATCAGTGTACGTGGTTACATAAATCAATATATTAACTTATCTTTGTGCTCAGCCAAAACACGTTACCTGAGAACAAGTAATATATTCAAAAGACCAAAGTTGGGGAATATGTTGTTAGATATAGAGAAGATGAATTAAATATTACGTTTAACAAATATAGTGAGATTAGATTCAGCGGTAGATCCTTGATGAACTCCGACATGCATAGCTCTCATCTGGGGGTTCTGTGCTCAAAGTACCCGCTGACTACCTGGAGCTCAGACGCGTACATATACTGCAGAGCATGCCAGAGTGTGTGTGGTCAGGTGATGTGCGTTTTCAGGGGTGTAGTGTGTACGGAGAGCGGTTCAGAAATGCTAGATGAAACGCCAGTGTGGACAGAGTGTTTTCACTCTAAAACGCCATTTTAAAACTAAAACGTATTGGTGTAAACAGGGCCTTTGATTGCAATTAAAATGTGTGGAAGTAATCTGCAAAAATTCCCCAAATAACAATAAATATGACCACAACTTAAGGCTTCTAGATTTAATTGTGGTAGACACCAGTTTGTGGTAGTCAAGTGGTCATACAGTACCTGTGCCCCTGACACTGGGCCAAAGGGATTGGCAGGCCGCATCACAGGTTGTGTGTACATCATTGTGGGCTGAGTCATCATGGCCATGGAGCCCATTTGAGGAGGCTGGAATGACAACAAAACCTAAGTTAAAGTATAGACAGAGGAACGTGAGTCAGTCTAAAGCCACTGTTCTTATCTGATCAGACTGGAAATTGTGTTGAACTCCACCTCAGTTACATAGAACACAGCAGATGATAAACTTCTATTTTTTGTCTTTGCATTTTTTATTTTATTTTTTTTTAAGAGCAACTCATACTCATTTAATTTACTTCTACTCTTTTAACACTAAGACAAAAAGTGAGACAGATACAGGAACTAGACCAGAGGATCCAAAATGGATGAGTCATAATGGCAGTGACAGTTATGTAAGTGCAGATGCTGTTATTTAAGAGCATCATTTACAGAGCACCTTCCTCTCTTTTAACCATTAACCAAAGCCTGTGCTACTTTACCTGAATGGCTCACTCAGTCTGTATTATTGAGTCCTAATGAAAATACTGAAAGATGGTTAAACTAATAGGGGGAAAAATCTACATTTAAAACAAAAAAAGATGACTGTGCCCTCTTAGTAAGAACCAATTTTAAATCTAGTTTAGAATATTTATAAATAAAATGTATAACTATTTGACTATACCCAACTATAATAATAAATATATTAAAATTTGTAACACTGTATTCATTTAAAACTACTATTAAAATTATAGTTAAACATATAATTTTTTTTAATTATGATTATCATTTAAAAGAAGATAGATTTAACAACAACATGTATCAATTAAATATTTTTATGTATAATTACAAATGTTCAAATATAAAATCATAGGGAGCTATATGGACATGTTAACGAGCATCATGGAGAAAATATACATTAGAACTAACCTTAAAATACAGAATTATTAATAAAATGAGATGCTATGAGGATTTTAACAGGTCTTTCATTCTAAATAAAAACAATTATAATTTTAAATAAATAATGTGATCTAATGATAATTATTTTGGTTACACTATAACGGTGTCCTTGATACAGGGTAACTATACATTTAAGTAATTACATGTACACTACCTGACAAAAGTTTTGTCGTTGATGCCAGTTGAAAGAGCAACAAATAATAACTTGACTTCTAGTTGAACAGCCTGAGGTATCAAGATATTTGTGCTCCCTATTATATTACAAACCACAGGAGAGCGCACATTCTTCAGCAGAATAAAGCTCCTTCTCATACTTTAGCCTCCATCAAAGTTCCTGAAAGCAAAGAAAGTCAAGGTGCTCCAGGATTGGCCAGCCCAGTCACTAAATATGAACATTATTGAGCACGTCTAGGGTAAGATTGAGGAGGCATTGAAGATGAATCCAAAGAATCTTAATGAGCTCTGGGAATTCTGCAAGAATGCTTTCTTTGTCATTCCAGCTGACTTTATTAATGTTATTTGAGTCATTGCAGAGATGTATGGATGCAGTCCTCCAAGCTCATGGGAGTCATACGTATATTATGTATATCAAATATCAAAAGTCAAATGTATATTAATTCTTTTTTCACTGTACCATGACTTTATATTCTATACTGTACTTTATTTCTGTTAAGTGACAAGACTATAGTCTAAGCAAAGTCAGACTTTTCTAATTAAATCATTCAAGATATGATCATATTTTATTTTGGTAAAAAAAAACGTAATCTACAGGCCTTTGCCTTTCATATAAGCCACTTCTGATACCAAATGATCAACTAGAAGTCAAGGTATTATTCACTGTTCTTAAAAGTTGGATAGGCAACAAGACTTTTGTCAGGAAGAGTACCTATTATATGGTACCTAAAGCTAAGGGCTTATAGAGCGATGCAGCCAATCGGCTAACATAAAAGAGAGGAAGCAAAAACAACAATAATAATAATCTGTCTCAGTAATGTTGACCTACTCTGAATGAAGGGCTCTAGAGGGCCCTTCATAGTGTTCACTACACCCACACTGCACTCATGGGACTGACGGCATCACTGCACACTCTCAATAAACAGCCAATACTTCTGACACTGATGGAGTGACTAATGCACAACCCCCCCTTCACACTCACCATCGCGTATCCCATCATTCCTGTGGGCGTCGTGGCAGGGAAGGCCATCACTGAGGGAGCCTAGAGGACACAGTCAGTGTTAGAGCACAAATACCACAGGTAAAACATCACCAGGTTTATTCTTAGCATAAACGAGCCATTCTTCCCAAAACCTTAAGTGAGAATTTCCAACCATGAGATCACAACTGCCCTAGACAGCCCATCTCAGTTTCCACAGGCTGAATAAAGGACACTTTGTGCAAGTGGATGCTTTTTAAGGCGAGACACTGCAGGTGAATAGGGTATACGATCAACTAATATTTATCTCCATACTTCCCCAGTCACATTAAGATTTTCAGTAATTGTATTGTACGTTTTAAAATATGCAAATTAGACACTAATTAAATATGCGCTATTTTCTAGAACAAAAATCTGGACATTGGATTAAAGGCAGGTTCATATTTGTTTAATTTCTAACATATGAGCTAAAGGTTTTTATCTTTTCATCACTATTATTCTGAAAACAATAGAAATTCTTTGTTTTTGTAGAATAAAAAATATAGTGTGAGGCAAATTAAGGCTGAACAAATTCCTCTATAATGTTCAGAATACAGATACGACATGAAGTAGAGATGTATGGCTCAGTGCAGCAGGGGAAAAAAAACTCATTTGAGAAAAAGAACTTACTAGAAAAAATTACTGTAACAGAAAAATCAATGGAACCAGATTGATAATGTGTTAAAAAAAAGAAACATTTGAAAGTGTTTTCTTTGCGTTAGGATGGAAAAAAAGACAGGTGCAAGAAAACAGCCCTTATGCCTGCAGTCTCTTGCTTAAAAAATTTATTCAAAAAAGATGCTACATTTTTTTTTTAGCTTTCTCTGGTAACAGAGAGCCGGTTACATCTGGGAATCATTATAGATGTCTTTTTACACACTCCAACCAGAGCATCAGACCAAGAATACAGGCAAGGAGACAGAGAGGAAGAGAGCGAGTGTGTGTGCGTATGCTCTTTGAAGGCAGAGTGATTAGTTGCAGGTGCAGGGCTCTGGTGGAAGAGAGAAGCTCTTTGTGAAGGAGCTGTGAGATCCTCAATGAGGCCTTCCGTGGCTACAGACACACTTTTCTTTCCACTCATGCACTATTGAAATGGACTCCAAATGGCCTCTAAATTCAGGGGAGGATCAGTGACCAAATGACCAAGAAATTGTAAAATGAACAGACTGAGTTCATTTAGCAAAAAAACGTATAACTTCAAATAGTGAGCAGTTTAAATATCTCATTAAGTTTTGTTGAAATATATAGTTGTGCACCATCTGCATAGCAGTGAAAGCTAATCCCATGCTGTCTAATAATGTTTGCCATGGAGAAAGTATAAACACTACCTTGACAAAAGTCTTGTCCCCATCCAAGTTTTAGAAACAACAAATAATAACCTGACTTCTAATTGATCATTTGGTATCAGAAGTGGCTTAAATGGCAAATGCCTGTAGACTACGCTTATTTTACCAAAATAAAATATGATCATACCTTGAATGTCTTGTCACTTAACAGAAATAATGTAGAGTATAGAATATAAAGTCATGGTGAAAAAGAATGACTATTGATTATGACTCCCATGGGCTTGAAAACTGCATCCATGCATCTCTGCAATGACTCGGATCACTTATTAATAAAGTCCTTTAGAATGAAAGTGTTCTTGCAGGACCTCCAGAGTTCATCAAGATTCTTTGGACTCATCTTCAATGCCTCCTCCATCTATTCCATGCTCAATATTGTTCATGTCTGATGACTGGGCTGGTCAATCCTGGAGCACCCTGACCGTCTTTGCTTTCAGGAACTTTGATGTGGAGGCTGAAGTATGAGAAGGAGCGCTATCCTGCTGAAGAATTTGCCCTCTCCTGTGGTTTGTAATGTAATGGGCAGCACACATCTCTTGATAACTCAGGTTGTTGATGTTGCGATCCACTCTGCAGATCTCTTGCATGCACCCATACTGAATTTAACCCTTGAAAATCCATGATTTTTCCTTCACCAAACTTGACTGATTTCTGTGAGAATCTTGGGTCCATGCGGGTTCCAATTAGTCTTCTCCAGTATTTGTGATGATTGGGATGCTGTTCAACAGATCATTCATCTGAAAAATCTTCTGCCACTTTTCCAAATGATCAACTAGAAGTCAAGTTATAATTGGTTGCTCTTACAACTGGGATTAAGGACAAGACTTTTGTCAGGTAGTGTATAGAAAATAGTTAGGGGACTAAGATTGATCCTTGAGGCACTCCGTATTTCACTGGCAAGATATTTGACAGTTGTCCATGCAGATTTACTAACTAGTCAGGGTCAGATAGGTATGATTTAAACCACCTTAAGGACTATCTCTGTTCTTTGAGCGAATAAATCTAACCTTAAAAGATTAGCCACATAAAAAGATTATTATTTAATGTTTTATTTGTCCAACCTGAATGTAGAGCCATAATGTATCCACTGCATACAAAATAGAAGTTGCATTTCCCCCAGAAATGTTCTGTTATAATGCAATTATGAAATGGAACTCGTAGAAAATGGGTCTTTGTTTTTATTTTCAGTTTTTCCCCTCATAAAAATTCAGTTATTTATTTTCCCCCCTCAATAGTCTTAACAAACATAATGATAACACCCTAATATTTAGACTTAATCTTGTGATTTGGACAGTACTTAATAATGCAATGACGAACTATACGACAGTAGCATGTGTGCAATACAGTTTTACGAGTACATGAGCCTGTTTTTGTATGAGATTTACTAACATACAGATAGATTGTATGGTTTGGTTCATATGCAAACAAGTATCTGCATATGATAAGGTGTGAACCAAAAGGCCTACAGGAACTCAAGAGTTGTGACCCAACCAAACCAGGTGGGTAATCTCCTGGGAGGCCATATCCTGTAGTGTGTCACAAACAGTGCTTTGGGTTAAGTTACTTAAGGACCGATAAGTTAACATCACTGCTGAGGAACTGCACTATTCATTGCCTTTAATAAAGTCGTCTCCCCATAAGAACTTTGGTAAGCTTATTTATGTTATGCATTAGTCATCTAATACATTGGCGAGCCACCCAAAAATGGACAAGCCAAATACAGCAAAGTCTAAAAATTTGGCGAGCCAGCCAGGAGAGACTGAAAATAAGTGTCTCACAGGCAGTACCTTGGGTTAAGTTACTTAAAAACTGACAAGGTAACATCACTGTTAAGGAACTACACTATTCGTTGCCTTCAATAAGGTCTCCTCCCTATAAGAACTTTGGTAAGCTTATTTACTTTATGTATTGGTGTCATCTAATACATTGGCGAGCCACCCAAAAACAGTCAAGCCAAATACAGCAAAGTCTAACAATTTGGCGAGCCAGACAGGAGAGATTGAGAGGAGAAAAATTCATCGACTGCATCAAGAAGTGAACTGTAGAATCTTGAAGAATCTACAGTTTAAGCTTAAGATAAACAGATTTTGTTTGTGGAAGAGTCCTGGAAATACATGTTGCATCTGTGGACAGTTTATTTTAATCAACTGGATCTCATCTCAAAGATCCTAGTTTGGTGAGTAAAACTTATCAGCTCTCAAAGCACCCTTAAAGGAAACATCTTTTATACGTAAACATTAAAAGTAAGCAGGTCAACTGGCCGTAGTGCAGTAATAATAATAATAATAATAATACTTTTAGTAGAAATTCAATTCATAATGTCGGTCATAGTGCTTGAAATAACTCATTTTTGTGACCCAAGATGATTTAATACCACAACAAAAAAGAAAGCACTATTTTTATAAGCATTTCAATCTTCTTTATACTTTGATGCATTTACTTCTGTGCTGCACATGTAGATTTTATGCATGTTGTCGCCATCTAGCTTTTAGGATGAATGTAAATCTTTGGTTTAATAATAAAAACAAAAAGAAAGCTAAATAATACTTCTCCATAAAGATATCACTTTCTTTTTGTTTCTTAGTGAAATCTCAGTAAATTTTGACTGTTTTAAGTCCGTATTGCGCATCCCTACAAGGCATGTTAAGGACCTGAACGCAACAACTGTTGGAGTAACTAAAACACTGGACTTTGCACACTCCACTGGAAACACTAGCCCATTGATTGACGCCAAAATGACTATGGTTGTTTGCTGATGCCGATAAACAAATGAAACGGATGAGAGGAAAGGGCAGAGGAGGAACAGAGCTGCCAGCCATGCCGAGATCACATCTGGTTAGATCAGCTCATGGGTTTCACTCAAACAACAACCGTGACTAAAGCCGAGCCGGTGGTGTTAATAATTTCATGCATTTCAGAGAATGCTTCAACTCAACATTTGGACTTACGTATTGTGGGAAAAGCATGCCATTCTGTTTATTCCCCCGGATGAGAACAGTTAGACAACGCAACAAACACAATTAGAAGGCAAACAACACAATAACATTGCACATTGAAAGCTCACACAAACACAAATGTAAACACAGACAAGACACAATACATTCCAGCTGCTCTGAGTGTGGATTACAGCCCTGTTCCAAACAATAGTGTGCTGCCTATTAAGGTGCCATTCCAAGGAAATAGATGTCAAAATAATGAATCATTCATAAGATGTCTAAGTTTGAACAGAATAAAAGGAGAATGAAATGTATAGTTCAGTGATACAAATGGGCATAGGTTTGGAAAAGTTTTAAACCCGGCAACATTTTCTGCTATATCGTACATTTTTTTTTTACGTTTTTGTTTTTAGGACAACAATATATTCAGCAAAAAAGATATCCAAGATGCCATTTTAATTTGTAATGAAATCTGTGTTTTGGTACCTAATGAAGACAGCAGAAGTCAATGACTACGTTTACATGGACATCAGTAATCAAATTATTTGCTTTAATCCAATTAAGAGAATAATAAGACTAAGGTATTTGTATGAGTTTTGAGTGTTACTTTCATGATCCTGTTTCAAATGTTATAGCACATAATTCGATTAACGTCATCATGTCACCGCGCTATCCGCATGTCCTCCGGAGTTTCATGTAATTTCGGGTGTTTCAGTTTTAATGAACTGCTGGAAGAGTTAGGCTATTTTTTTAAATGGAAGTTCATACCGCATACTGAATGGAAGAAAAAAACCTCCGCGTTTCACGATGCAGGTGTCTGTGGTCTGCACTGACTCGGTAAGTGCAAAGAGTATCAAATAGCCACGCATGTGTGTGTGTTTGTGTGGACTATTCTTTCGAAAAACACGGCAAAAAGTCATACAAGACGGTAATAATTTGCTTAATGTGTTTACATGTCTGTAATGCACTTTAATAATGCGACTAAAATCAGCGTACTCCACACTTCTTAATTAGATTTCTCTTTAGTTCGATTATGACCTTAATCTGATTAAATTAATCAAAAATCGTTGCAATACTCTTAATCAGAGTATTGTCTTAATCGCATTATTGGTGTCCATGTAAACGTAGCCACTGATCCATCTGAATGATTTAGTCTGACATGTATAGCTACTGTTCCAAAATAGTTTAAATGTTTCTCAAAATGAAATGAATTGTGTTCAAAGGATAAAACAGTTTTTTTCTTTTTTTAATGCAGAAGTTTAAAAAGAGCATATTTTGGAGCAGTAATCACAATACCGTAAAACCGTGATATTTTTATCCAAGGTTATCATACTGTCAGAATATTATATCAGCCCATGCCTAGATACAAATAGGGGTACTGTCATTTATTATTACTTAAGAATAATAAATTATATTATCTAATCAGGGCCAGGCAGTAGGTAGTGCTGTCGCAAGAAGGTCGCTGGTTAGAACTTGGCTAAGTTGGCGTCTCAGTGTGGAGTTTGCATGTTGTCCCTGCGTTTGTGTGGGTTTCCTCCGGGTGCTCTGGTTTCCCCCACAGTCCAAAGACATACGGTAAACAGGTGAATTGGGTAGGCTAAATTGGCCAGTGTATGAGTGTCTGTGGATGTTTCCCAAAGATGGGTTGCGGCTGGAAGGGCATCCGCTGCGTAAAAACATGCTTAATAAGTTGGCTGTTCATTCCGCTGTGGCGACCCCAGATTAATAAAGGGACTGAGCTGACAAGAATGAATGAATGAATTATCCAATGAGGTTAATCATTAACCAAAACAAAACGAAGACTATACATTTATTTAATTATTTGCAAAAGGAAACAGTAATACAGCTGAAGTCAGAATTATCAGCCCCCCTGAATTATTAGCTCCCCTGTATATTCTTTCCCTAATATTTGTTTGACAGTAGGGGTGTCAAAATTAATTGTTTCTTCGGTGCACCATGATGCAGATGGGGATATCGATATGTGCTCAGTAATAGATCATGACCAGTTATTACGTACTGACAGCATTTATCTCCTATGCGCGTGTCGCAGTAGAATACTACAGCGAAGGAGGTGAGGGTGAATAATAAAACACTCCTACTACTTAAAAGGTGGATAATTATACACAATTCAACTGCTTGTGAGTTTGTTGGAAAGTCTTTCATTGACACTGAGGAAGGCACAACACACAGCCGCTATTTCACTACTAGGGAGAAATGCTGTAAAACTCCAGCTCTGCCTCTCTCTTTCTCTCTCTCACTTTGGAAATTTGACCCGCTGACGTGTTCATGAGGTAACTTTTCCTCTCCTCTTGGCTGTGAAAGTGATACTTGTGGATCCAGACACAAGCGTGCCTGAGGTGCAAGTTTTCTCCACAGTGTCTTTAATGGATCACCTGTGATAACCGCATATTATGCACATATCCGCAGCTATGCTTCATTCCTAAAGCCAATCGAAGCCCTTTCTGTTGAGCGGGTGAAGACAATGACCAATCATGGGGGTGTAAGACCTCGCTTGACACTCAAAAATCAAGCGGGACAATATTTACATTAGTTTATTTGCTATAAATGCTCATGCTGTGTTCTGTAGGCGTATTTGTTTTTTTTTTTTTTAATACATTCAAAAAGAGTGTTTTCTTGAGCAGGTAAAATTAAAGGTCCAGGTAATATATCTTACTGCTTGTATTAAAGGACAAAATTGTATTACAAATAATATATAAATACTAATATATATATATATATATATATATATATATATATATATATATATATATATATATATATATATATATATATATATATATATATATATATGTATATATAGAAAAAAATTGTGTTGTAAAAAAAAACTAATTATGTAGATCTTTTTCAAGATACTAGTGTTTGAAGTGACATTTAAAGGCTTTACTAGGTTAATTAGGCAAGTTAAGAGTAATGAGGCAAGTCATCATCAGTTTGTTCTGTAGACAATCAAAAATATTTAGTTTAAGGGGGCTAATAATATTGAATGTTATATTAAAGTATATAAAATTAAATAATATAAAAATGGTTTTAAAAGAAAGTAAAACTGCTTTTATTCTAGCCAAAATAAATCAAATAATATTTTAACTAGAAGAAAAACTATAGAAAATGCTGTAAAAGAAATTCCTTTCTCTGTTAACCCCTGTGCACTGTTCAAGTTTACTACCCTTTTGTTATGTTGGAGATGAAAACATCCACTGAATTAAACCGCTGTAAAAATGCATAAAACATTCTTTAATCTTTTTTTTTTTTTTTTGCATAAATCTGTTAAACTAAGCTTTTTGCACATGCCAATCTAAATGATTAATGCTGCCAACTGGTTATCAACAGTAAAAATGAAAAATTTTACCTCTTCCCAACAGGGAAAACCACCAACAATAAAAAATGCATAATTATATGATGTCATGGCTTTGCACCCAAAAAATGGTTGTAGTGGAAGGCAAAAACAGCTACGAACAATAAATAAGGAAGGAAAAAATGAAGATCAATCAAAAACAATGCATCAAAGCCAATGTTGTTTCACATGTCCAAGACAAGTAAAAGGTAAACAAAAAAATCCAGTCCACAGTTACTTTTTATATTGAAAATATGTCATTCTGTGTGTTTTTTTGCACCAAATCAGTGACATCATTTATAAATTTGCCAGTTAAAGAGGTCAAATCCTGTAATTATCTAAGCAATTTATAGTTTTGATCAGGACTGGGGTTGATTAACAGATTTTTGCAGAAATTATAAAAATTCTTTTTTTTTTTTTACAGCAGTTTAATTTAGTGGATAATTTCATCCTGATCATAACAAAAGAGTAGTCAATTTGCCCGGAGTGTTTCGTTGAGTTTTTAAAAAATAACTTTAAAGCATTTTCCCAAAATATGTGTCAAAATAAAATCTGTCATCAAAAATCATTATGTTAACTGAAATAGAGAAAAAGTTCTGGCCAAATTAAAACTCAAAATCACCCCAGAGTGGACAAAAACATTCCCAACAGCACATAAGGGTGAAACATCATTTGGGATACATTTGAAAAATAAATCCACAGGGCTAAATCTGATATATAAAACTAAAAGTTATAGAGAAACCTATTTGTAAGAGAAATGTAACTGTAAATACACATATAATTTGATATAAAATCAAGTATATAGATTTAAACTAAGAAACTGCTTAAGTTTGGTGTAATGTGCGTATATTGATCGCCACACTTGCTGAGATGTTCACAGTTAATGATAAATGCAAATAAAGAAGGAAATGAATCAATGAGTCAAAGTTCCAATGACATGATAGTAAAGCAGATTAGGCAAATGTTTGCAGAGATAGGCGAGTAAAACAGTAAACTTCCTTCTCCACTGACAATCAGACACCTACAAAACAAATGTTTGCATTTTTCTATCCATTCTGTTTCTGTACGTCATCCAACCACAGAATGATATTTTGGCCAGATGGAGGTTTTTGTTTTACTAATGTACAGCCTTTTAGTTTTAAGAAATATTTGCCTATGTAGACAGCATATAGTGAGGCAGTTCACTTATGTCTGGAACAGAGCCTGTGTTTGAGAATCTCCAGCTTTTGTTCATCTACTGGTTTATGACAGCTGTTTCTAGCACAAGTTTGGTTTGTCCGAGTCAGTGAAAGCACACATTGTTGGCCTCACCATGGTGGCAGGATTCCATGTAGTGGTAGGAGCCGTCTTTGGTTGCCAGTTCATTCCTCCTGTTAACTTCTTCTCTCCAGGTTGACTCCAGTGGATGTCACTAAGAAAGAATAGAAGAAACAATAATAAGTTAGCAAGATTTATAAAACCAAAGAATTAGGATTGAGATGAGCAGCAAATATTCATACTTTTTTGCTGTTCCGTTTCCAATACCGAGATCTGGAAGAAGCAGAAATCTGGTTAATATTACGCCTTCCATGGTGCAATGCTATTTTTATGTTTACAAGCTCCTGAATCAATAAACAACACTAAAATCACTGTTCCTAATGATTAATTATAGAATTCAGAGTACAATGTGTGTGGAGACTGATAAGATATATTTTTTTTAATTCCATGTTTGCTGGTCTTTTTTTTTTTTTTTTTTGTAAGGCCACAAAATTTAAAATCATAAATCCGAAAGTACAACGCCTGGAAATGCCAAAAACTGCACTTTTTTGGCAGAGGAAGTTAAAATTCCTGTTGGGTTTGAGATTTCGCTTTCTTCTTTCTTGTGGGTATTGGCATGTTTGATGTGTGTGCCAATTTTCGTACGCGTGTGTGAAACTGAGCTTGGGGGCCACTCCGTCAAATGTGCATAGGTGGCACTGTCGAGCAATTTTGCCACACCCACTTCTGAAACCTAAACAAAATTTTGCCACTTCTGGCACAAAGTTCGTGAGTTTGAGCATGTTTAGACCCTCAAAAATTAACTCTAGATAATACTACTACTACTACTACTAATAATAATAATAATAATAACTGAAAGCAAATCCAATAGGGCCTATGCACTGTTCTTGATCCCTCGATATTAACAAAAATCTTCTGTAAATTTTAAACAAAATTTCTTCTTAGTAATACTAAAATAATGCTGTTGACATATAGTGTATACTTCGGTTTAAGTCTAATTAATCATGAACCTAAGTAATAAAGTTAATCTATTGTTTGCTGTAACAAAAACATGACACTCACTGCCCACTAGGTTGGCCAGTGAAGAATCCAAGTCATCGGAGACCAGTTTGCCAGAGAGTTGGGCACTGGGCGTCAGACCCTGGTTAGGAGAGGTCACTGTGGGTTTCAGGATGCCACCTAAAATATCATCTTAAACAAACACAGGACAGGGAATGGGAGAGGGACAAAAGACGAGGACAACAAATACAAACACAAAAAGCGCAGTTAGGTCTGGGTGGAGCGCGAGGTGGCCGCCCTCACAGCAAATGTTGCAGGACTGAAAGTGAAAGAATGTGGGTAAAACCTTGTGAAGTCAACTCACCCAGACATGCAGTGCCATGCAAAGCCAGCGGGCCAAACAGATCAAACCACACAGTGAGAGGAGAGAAAGAGGACAGAATGAGGAACATCTTAAAACATCAGCTTGTGATCTTATCTTACATGAGGATCACTTTTTTAAAGAGCTGGTTCACCTCAAAATGAACAATCTGTCATCTATTACTCACTCTCATGTTGTTCTAAACCAATTTTGGCTTGGGTCATCATTCAGTGTAATTATTATTCACATAAAAATGGTCAAAATGTTTGAAAAAAACATCAAGTGGTTTAATAAAAAAACAAACAAACAAAAAAAAAAACATTTTCTTTATATGACAAAGAGATTTGGAAAAAACAAACCTCAAGGGTTCTTTCAAAAGATTAAACATGCCGTGTAAAATGCAACAATAAACCGTTGGTTTTAATGATTCACGCAAATATGTTTGATTTAAGATGACTAAATTTACACTGTAAGCATTTTTTAATGATTAATGTTTGTGTGTGAAAGAGTGGTAAAAAGCGAGCACTTTTTTGCAGTAGACTTAAATGAAATCACTTCAATTCATTTTTTAAGGAGGGACTGAACATCTTTGAAGATAAAAACATTTCTTTTGGGTTTATAATGGCATTTAAGATAAGTAAAGTCAATTCCATTGATGTATCATATTTACATGTAAAACAGTACGTTATTTTTTTCTCAATTGGCAATATGTCCTCCAGTAAAAACGTATCTTAGCTCAAATAAGACAAGATACAAGTAAATAAATGCTACATTTGTTGTTTAATAAGAAGCTTGTTAGATTAGGTCACTGCAGTGCAAGTATTAAAGTCTGCATGAACAAGAAGTTGCAGTTGTTTGTTTCAGTATGATGACGCAATTGTAATTGAAATGGAATATTGAGTAAGGGGTGGGGTTTTATTTTTGTGCTCCTCCCATCTTTCACTCTAAGCATTGGAGCAAAGATATAAAGGTTGGTGGCAAATAGGGTTGGGTATTGTTTGGGGTTATTTCAATACTAAAATTGAATGCTAAATTGATACTTTTAAAACAGTACCGGTGCCTGAACCGATACTTTTGAGCCACAAAATTATGTTGGATGACTCTAGAATAATCTTAATCATTCATTCATTAATTTTCTTGTCGGCTCAGTCCCTTTATTAACCCAGGGTCGCCACAGTGGAATGAACTACCAACTTATTCAGTAAGTTTTTACGCAGCGGATGCCCTTCCAGCCGCAACCCATCTCTGGGAAACATCCACACACATTCACTCACACACTACAGACAATTTAGCCTACCCAATTTACCTGTACCGCATGTCTTTGGACTGTGGGGGAAAGCGGAGCACCCGGAGGAAACCCACGCAAAGGCAGGGAGAACATGCAAACTCCACACAGAAACACCAACTGAGACGAGGTTTGAACCAGCGACCCAGCGACCTTCTTGCTGTGAGGCAACAGCACTACCTACTGCGCCACTGCCTTGCCCAGAATAATCTTATATTTAACAAAAAACACAATTGTTATAATTTTAATTGAATAATATAATTAAAGTTTAAAGTAAACACCAATTCATATTTTATCTATTTGAACTGCATTCATATATTTCTTTTGATCATTTGTTTTGTTAGCCTGAATTTAGGTTTTGCATTATTGCATTTATACTGCTAAGCTGTGGGAAGGCTGTCATTAAAATAGTAGTAGTACATAGATCGATTAACGTCATTGCTTCACCAGGCTATCTACGTCTCCTCCGGAGTTTCATGTATAATTTCGGGTGTTTCAATTTTAACTTTAACTACAGTTCGACAGTTTCACTTTCATTCAGCAACATATTATTCATGTCCTGTGACAAACTGAGGTATTGGATGAGAATATGAAGTAAGGACTGGTGGAAGAGTGTTGTTTTAATGGAATTTGATAACGCACGCCGAATGGAAAGAAAAAATCTCAGCATTTCATGAGATTCTGTGTGTCTGTGGTACTTTAAGGTCATAAAAAATATATATAAGTAAATAAATAAAAATATTGCTGTTTACATGGTAGACCCTTAACCAAAGTATTGTCTTAATCATATTAAAATTAGAGTATCGGTCTCCATATAAACGTAGTCAGTGTAAGTGCCAGATGATGTCGCAAGCTGTCAAAGACATGGCCTCAAATATTGGCTCGGGGTTTCTGTACCCAACTCTAGTGGCTAAGCATATTTTGCCCAAGCTGTCAAACTGACATATTCAGAGAAGGACTACCAATCCAGAGTGGAAATTATTGGCTAGATTTGAATAAAGATTTAAATCGTATGTATTAATTGTTCACTCGAAGACTAACAATGTGCAAAAAAAAAAACAATGTAATTTTTTTTTCATTTCATGCAGACTCCATGATTTGTTGGTAAAGCAAGCTCCAATCATGCAATAGTGAGAACATTGACCAAAAGAGATTAAGTGTTTAAACACTGTGATCCCTTTTCTTACAACAATACCACAGCAAACGTCTATGAAAATGCATAAAATAACCCTTTTACATATAAAATACATTTTCACATGCTAGTTCGGCTCTGTTAGCTAAAGTGTATGCCATGATTGACTTCATTAAGGCCCTGAAAACACACTTTCCTTCAGCACTGAGATGGATGTGAAGCATCATGTGAAAAGCAGTGAGTGGAATTAGCAACTAGGTTAACTTGTTTCTTACCAGCAGAGTCTGTGCTGTTGGCGACCGACTTATTGCCGAACACGGAGTCAAAGTCGACATTAAGGCCTGTGGAACTGGGAGGCTGAGCGGCGGGAGGTGCAGAGAACCCTGTGTTAGAGAAAACAAGGTCAGAGCCAGAAAAAAAAAAAAACACACACCACAGGCTGCTCCACCTACACACGGCTGAGTGCTGGAGAGATCAACACGTTTCAAAGGGTGCTTAATGTTTTCCTCTGGTTCATGTAATTGTCATTAATTCAAATGGATCAACTCTGTTGTAGTTGACAGGCTTCCAGAAACGTCAGCTGTTTGACTGGGTCGCCCACAGCAACTTACTAGTAAAGGTGTTTCCACATGTTCAAAAGCAAACTATAATCATGTCAGCTCTTTCTCTTTTTCAATATACCTGTAAAGGTTTCACCTAGCATCATCCTCCTAGAGCTTAAAAATTTGTATGAAGATGGGATTTTACATTCTTTTGAGCTTTTATGTACAAAAAAATATATGGTTATGGTTACTAAAAAACATTTCTTTAAATGCACTTAATTGAAGAGTTACATGTCATCAAAAAACACAGATTAGTTGTATAACCTCATTATCACAATTAATTATCCAAACTTTTGAAGGAAGAGGTCGTGTTTCTGTGTTTTACAATTTTATGGTCACACATAGTACTGAATTATTGGATAAATTAAATGAAAACAGATTTGCAAGAAGACAGATGAAACAGACTGGAATTATTTTTGCTTGAAAGCTCAAACACGAACATTAAACACCCGGTTTAAACTACTTTCATACAAATGGTTAATGAAAAAGCCCTGTTAAGCTTTATCATATGTCTGCTAATGTTCCAGGTGTGTGCTCTAAATATTTGGATGATAAAGGTACATAAATCACTGGCTTTGGCAATGTGCTAAAATAAAAAGTTTTGGAAAGAGATAACTGAATGTCAGACATGTTTAATAATAAAATCCTTTAAATGCCCTGTATTCTTGGTTTGTATCTTTTAGAACTTAAAATTGGAAAGACATTTTGGATTTTGCTTTTCTTCAAGCTAGAAGGTCTATTGCATTTTACTAGAAACATATGGATGCTCCATTCATAGTATTGTGGAAAAAACAGATATTGAACTGTACTGGACTGAAGAGACCTTGTATCAAAGGTGAACAGAAGGAACCATATATAAATCTTATGCAAAGTGTGTTTGTAAGTATTATTAATTTTATATACTTATTATTAAGTCATTTGAATATGTATGTGTGTGTGTGTATGTTTGTGTACAGTGCATCTGGAAAGTATTCATAGCGCTTCACTTTTTCCACAGATTTTTGATTTACAGCCTTATTCCAAAATGGATTAAATTAATTGATTTCCTCAAAATTCTACACACAATACCACGTAATGACAATGTGAAAAAAGACTTGTTGAAATTGTTGCAAATTTATTAAAAATAAAAAGCCTGAGAAATCACACATACAGAAGTACTCACAGCCTTTGAAGTGATGCTCTAAATTGAGCTCAGGTCTGTTTCCACTGATCATTCTTGAGATGTTTCAGCGGCTTAATTGGAGTTTACCTGTGGTAAATTCAGTTGATTGGACATGATTTGAAAAGGCATACACCTGTCTTTATAAGGTCCCAGGGTTGACTGTACATGTTAAAGCACAAACCAAGCATGAAGACAAAGGAATTGCCTGTAGACCTCAGAGGCAGGATTGGCTGTACACCATTGCTTCCCATCCAACCTGATAGAGATGAGAGGTACTGCAAAGAGCAATGGGCAAAAATTCCCAAAGACAGATGTGCCAAGTTTGTGGCATCATTTTCAAAAAGACTTAAGGCTGTAATTGCTGCCAAAGGTGCATCAACAGAGTATTGAGCAAAGGCTGTGAAAACTTATGTACATGTGATTTTTTCAGGCTTTTTTTATTTTTAATAAATTTGCAACAATTTCAAAAATTCATTATGAGGTATTGTGTGTAATATTGAGGAAATTAATTATATTAATCCATTTTGGAATAAGACTGTAACAGAAAATGCGAAAAAAAAATAAAATAAAAAAATATTATTTTTTAAACATAGCTACTTTCATAAGAAACAGTATACTGTATACTGTTAACAGTATACTGAAACATCTGTTTATATTTTCCAAAACCGCAATCTGTATATGAGAGAAATAAACAAGTTATGGATGTGATCAAAATAAATAAATAAATAAATAATAATGCGAGTTTACAGTAGACAACATACTTTGTAGACTACATCATTTGTATCTCCACACACCCAATTTGTTTTCATGGCAAGGTTAATTTTGCATGGAATTGCTCAAATAGAGATTAATTGCAATGGTCTACATTTTCCTATAATTGATTAGGCTAAATTAAAGTAACCTCATGTCTGCTGAATACCTGAATAGACATCAAACCTGTTGCTGCCAGCTCAACAAAAGCAAAGAAAGTACAAGATAGCGGAAGAACACAGAAAGAAAGAGGGATGGGCCGAAGGAACGCCACTCACCTCCAAATAGTCCAGCTACAGTGGAGGGCTCAGAGTGGAAGAGAGGAGTGTTAGGATACGCGGTCGGAGAGCAGAACGAGTCTGACAGACCCAGAAGGAAAGCACAGGACAGACAGAAATGCAGAAGTTAGTGAAGTGAGACAGGAATATACAGTTAAAACAAAATACAACAATGGCAGAATGTTTTAGGCCTGACAACTAAAGTCAAGAAAGTGGAATTAAAACAACACAGGTAAAGGAATAAAGTGGGGTAAACAGCACTCAGAAGGGAACCACGGGGAAAGGCCACTATGTTTCCTGAAGTGAGAAAACATACATCACGCTGTACCTGAGAGGAAGCAGCCCATCCCAACAGGGGGCTCGACAGGGGACGCAACAGAAGAGCTTGAATCAATAAAGGGATTGTAATTATCTGGAGAACCAAGAAATGAAATTGGCATCTGGGGTTTATTTTTTAAAATCTTAATGCTCTAAAGATGTGGGAAATGCAAAAAGAGGGAAATGGAAAACCATGGCAGGTCATAAGCAGAAGACAGCAACGTTTTGAGTGAGGTGGTCTAGAGATCATAGAAGAAAGCCTCAGAAAAATCATGTGTAAAAAAAAAAAAAAAGTAATCGGGACAGTTACAGTAATACAGTACAGATGCTCAACCTGATGTTGTTGCTGTATTTATTTATTTATTTTTTACCCAAAAACAAGAAAATGTGTTAAAGGCTGCATTTACACTGGTTCAAGTGACCCAAATAAGATTTTTTTCTCTCGTGTCTGCAGTGTAAAGCTGCCTTTTCACTGCATACAACATTTGGAGACGACTGTCAGAATATGGCCGCTTGTGGCAGTCGCACAGATTTTTCAGTTTTGTCATGCACCATAGAGGAGAGAAGCAGTGTCCGAATGAATACTAGAAACTCATAAACCGGTAAAAATTTTGGAGAGAATGTGGAGACGACTTAAAAAAAAAATTATTACTCATTTTTGAATATATATATATATATATATATATATATATATATATATATATATATATATATATATATATATATATATATATATATATATATATATATTGTTTTTTTTAATATTGACTTTTTTCAAAAATAATAGGAAAAAATAGTATTTCTAATCTCGCGCGCACAGATCTGCTTAGACAACACTGGAATATATCACATCCGGTAAGCCGATCACATACGGTCTAGTCACAGAAGTTCAAATATTTAAACGTATCCGATGATCGGAACTTCACGCAGCTCCCGTACTCTCCATTGGATATTCACCCATCAATGCAAGTCGCGCGACATTAAAAACCTTATTGAATGACGTAAACTCTGACGCTTTTGTTTCGAAACAGACATCAGCAGAGTCCCAAACATTTCACATACTAGAACAAAAAAATCCTTTATATTGTCATATACCACAAGTAAAGTTATTCAATAATGTTAGCGAGTGAGCGAGAGAAAGAAACAGAAAGCACATCATCCGTCATGTAAACAATTTACAAAACTGTTGCATACATTATGTGCATAAATCACGCCATTGACATCACATTAATATACCTACTGGTTTTTAAAAAAAAAAGCCTAGATTAAAAGAAGATGGCCGAATAAGAACTTTTGTCATAAACGATAGTATAACATGTAAAGAAGAATTTAAAAAAATAAAACCCCTGCTGTGAACAGATTAAATAGAGGAATGGAGAAAAGGGGTCTTGTCATTGTGTGAAGTGTAAATGCAGACAATCGGATACGGGTAACTTTTAAAAGATGTAAGAAAAAAAAAATCGTAGAATGCAAAAAAGTAATAAAAAATAAATAAATAAATAAGAGTATAGTCATAAAATCTGAATTGACCATGGAGAAGGCGATGCAGTGGCGCAGTAGGTAGTGCTGTCGCCTCACAGCAAAAAGGATGCAGAGTCGGTGGTTCGATCCTCGGCTCAGTTGGAATTTCTGTGTGGAGTTTGCATGTTCTCCCTACGTTCACGTGGGTTACCTCCGGGTGCTCCGGTTTCGCCCACAGTCCAAAGACATGCGGAACAGGTGAATTGGGTAGGCTAAATTGTCCGTCGTGTATGAGTGTGTGTGGATGTTTCCCAGAGATGGGTTGCGGCTGGAATAGATGGGTTGCGTAAAAATGTGCTGGATAAGTTGGCGGTTCATTCCGCTGTGGCGACCCCGGATTAATAAAGGGACGAAGAAGACAAGAAAATGAATGAATGAATAAATGACCATGGAAATCTACAGAGTAAATGCAGCCAAAAACATAATAATAATCTTGTTTGCAATTATTAATGTATTAATAATGTAAGTTGCAATTAGTAATGGCATTGAATAGTAACTGATACCACATTTTTGGACCAAAATCTGTTTTTATTTTGTTTGTTTTATTATAGTTATTTAGTTTTTAAAATTAAATTTGTACTTTTACTTTCCCTTGAGCACATTTTAGTGCTGTATTGGTACTTTTACTCCACTACTTTCCTTCAAATTTTAGTCACCAAATTATTTTTTCATTTACAGGGATTAGAAAAAAAAAATCCAATGATTCCTGTCCAATCAAATCGCACCGCATCATACTGAACTACCTAAAGACT